GGAAAAACTATGCTGATCAATGCTGTGTTCTTCTAATTAGTTGTGCTGGAACTGAGGAATATATTAACAAAACAACTTTAATTCAATAAACTGAGGCCACTGTGGTGATTGTGCCTACTGGGAACACACTTTTTTTGTTCTCACACTAAACAGCAATAATCCATTAAGACTAACGAGTAGAGACAAAGTCTTCTTTGACCTGAGGTCAACTCCAGATGATTGTATTACATTGACATAACCATGTATTTTTCTGGGCAATAACATGGAAGTGGTTTCCCATTGTCTTCTTCTGAGAAGTTATTTCAACTTCCCTGTCTAGCTTACATCCCTGGGATTTCCTGTTGGTCTCTTACCCAAATACTACCGTGTTTCCCCCAAAATAGGACATGTCCTGAAAATAAGGCCAAGCCTGATTTTTGGGGTGGGCGTAAATATACGCCCTCCCCCAAAAATAAGCCCTCCAGCAAGCGTGGCTGTTTTTGCCATGGATTGCAGTCACTTCTGCAGCAGGAGGCCAAGCGATGCTCCCCATGTGCCTCACGGCAGCCTTCCAAAGAGTACTGTAGCAGCAACTATCCACAATTTTTTTTACCCTTATTTCATCCCGACCGTACTGGGCCACGTGGGTTGGGACGAAATAAGGGTTAACAAATTGTGGATACCTGCTGCTGCTATGGTACCTTTCGGTAGGCCACTGCGAGGCGCGAGTCTCCTGCTGCAGAAGTGGCTGCATCCGAGGAGTGCTTTTGGGAGAGAAGGCAAAGGGGAAGCAATTGCTTGCAAACTCCCGCCCTGCTCCCACCTCTCCGCTGGGTGACTCCCGGCAGCCCCAGATGCCCAAAGCCCGTGCCCGCCCAGCTCCCTTTTCCTCAGTGCCTGGCTCTTTATTGAGGGGGGTGGGGGAGAAGCGAGATGCATGGAGCGAGATAGGGCTCGCTATTCTTGCCGTCTCTTCTCCCCCTCTCGCTGGGCATGGCAGGGCTTCCTGGCCCTGCCCAAATTGGATGCAATTTGGGGGTGGCAAGTGGGGCGGTGCGGGGCTGGGGAGACGTGAGATGTGTCTTACCTGCTTTGTAGCTCCATCGCGTGCCTTGCCGTTGTCTGCAGGCAAACACGTTGTAGGGTAAAAAAACCTCAGAAGTTCAATCAAACTTCTTGAACTAGCAAGAAGTTTGGTTTTACGCTACAACGTGTTTGCTTGCAGACAACGGCGAGACACACGACAGAGCTGCAAGGCAGGTAAGACATGCATCTCGTGTCTCCCCGGCCCCACCCCTCCCCACCTGCCACCCCAAATTGCATCCAATTTGGGCAGGGGCAGGAAGCCCTGCCATGCCCGGTGAGACAGGGAGAAGAGACTGCAAGAGGAGCCCCGTCACACTCCATACATCTCGCTTCTCCCCTGCCCTACCTGCCACCCCCCTCGACAAAGAGATGGCGGGGAAGGGCAGCAGCCAGGCTGCTGTTACAGTACCATTGGGGTGCGTGGAGCCGTCTTACCTGCCTTGCAGCTCCGTCGTGTGTCTCAACATTGTCTGCAGGCAAACACGTAGGGTAAAAAAACCCTTGCGAGCTCAATCAAACTTCTCAAACTCGCTAGAAGTTTGGTTTTACCCTACATGTTTGCCTGTTGACAACAGCGAGACATGCGATAGAGCTGCAAGACAGTTATGATGCGTGTCTCATATCTCCCCGGACCCTGGTGATGGGGGGGGGGAGAAGAGACGGCAAGAGGAGCGAGCCCCATCTCGCTCCACGCGTCTTGCTTCTCCCCTGCCCCACATGCCACATCCTCAATAAAGAGCCGGGTGCTGTGGAAAAGGGAGCCGGGCGGGCGGAGGCTTTGGGCATCTGGGGCTGCCGGGGGGTCACCCAGCAGAGAGGTGGGAGCGGGGCGGGAGTTTGCAGGCGAGGGGGATTGATGGATGGATGGATGGGAGGCAGGCAAGTGTCAAGAACGCTGGGGAGATTCCCACCTTAGGTTGCTCCAGCGAACAGCTGACAAGCGGCTGTGTTGCACTGCCACAGCAGCTCAACACAGCAGAAGCCATGAGGTGGCCACGCTCATTGTCTCCTGTACCCCCAGAATAATAAGACCCCCCCCCCGATAATAAAGCCAAGCCCTTATTTCGGGGTTCAAAAAAATATAAGACAGGTCTTATTTTCGGGGAAACACGGTATGTCTCCCTCTGCTTAGCTTTTAAGGTCAGCCAGCAATATGAAAATGAGAACAGCTACCACAGGTAGAGATGTTTCAGGATTAACTGATACACATGAGTACTAGCTGTGAACAATACCATAGGGTTGTACTGTATGTTATTGCAACACATTCTACATGGAGCTATCTTTAAAGAATATCCGGAAGAAGCAGCAGGTGCTGAATGTGGTTTCCGAATATTAATGAACTGGGATAGACATGGCAACAGGTCAGCCATTGGGGACTGGCTGGAATAGGACATGGTAACAAGGCCAGCCAATGCATAGCAACTAAGTCAGCCAATGAGGACTGTTCGGGAGCGGAGACTGGAAGGAGCCTGGGTGTGGCTCTTTAGCTCCGAGGTCTGTGCTGAGAACTAAACAAGTCTGGTCTTGTCTGCTCTCTGAATCAAAACTAGTCTGCTGTACTCTGCTTGTATTTTGCTTGTAACTGCTACCATGTTGGAAGAAACTGCCATTGGCATTGTATATTGGTATTGTACACATTTCATGTGTTTTATTGTATATAAAAAGAAGCTAATGAATCCTGCTGCATCAGTTATCTGTGTGTGCTTTCTGGAAGTGATTTCTGCAACAAACTCTGACATGTGGCAGTATTGGGGCTCATCTGGGGTTATATATATAATATTTCTGCTATACGAGCTGTATTGAGTGCCAGTTTACTTCCAGATCCAATTCAAGGTGCTGGTTACTACTTTTAAAGCCTTATATGGCATGGGACAGGTTACTTGAGGAACTGACTTGTTTTAATTACATCAACTCATTCCACTTGATCAGGCAGGGAGGACATGTTGCAGACCCTGTCAATCAAAGCATTTTGATTCTTGGGATCTAAGAAGAGAGCCTTCTCAGCTGTTTCTCCTGCCCTATGGAATATTTTGTTCCTGGTGGTGAGGTGGACCCCCACTCAGCTCACTTTATGGAAGAGGATCAGGACCTGGCTCTGCCAACTGGCATGGGAATGTAAAAGTGGCATGCAATCCAGGGGTGGGTTCTACTTACCTTTACTACTGGTTCGCAACGGGATTGTGCATGCGCAGATCGCCGATGACGATATTCAGGGTGGTGGGTGGGGCCTCCCGCCGGTTTTACTACCGGTTCTTGCAAACCGGCCCGAACCAGGGACAACCCACCACTGATGCAACCCTAAGGCTAGTTGATGACTTGAGGGCGCTCCCTCCGCCTTTTTAACTTTTTATTCCAGTTTTAACTTCGTTTTTATCTATGTCTCTTTTAAAAGCTGTGTGGCTTTTAGTTGTAAACTAGCCACTTATGTGAGATGGGTGCAGTGGTGGGATTCAAATTTTTTTACTACCGGTTCTGTGGGCGTGGCTTGGTGGGCGTGGCTTGGAAGGCATGGCATGGGAAGGATACTGTAAAATCTCCATTCCCACCTCACTCCAGGGGAAGGTTACTGCAAAATCCCCATTTCCTCCTGATCAGCTGGGACTCGGGAGGCAGAAAATAGATGGGGCGGGGCCAGTTAGAGGTGGTATTTACCAGTTCTCCGAACTACTCAAAATTTCTGCTACCGGTTCCCCAGAACTGGTCAGAACCTGCTGAAACCCACCTCTGGATGGGTGGTGTATCAATTTGATAAATGAATAAAATAAAGTTTATGAAAAGATTCATGTTAGAGGAAGCTGAGGAGGATTTCCCCCAAATCCTCCCAATAAATCCCTGTAAGAGAGGCACTTTGGCAGCTGCTCAAAATGCTGGCAAGTGCTCGTATTCCAGGGGTTCCCAACCCCTGGGTGTTTGCAACAGGGCCGTGGAAATGGCGGGCAAGCATATGCATCCCCACTTGCGTGAGCAGCAGGCGAGCACATGTATGCATGCTCCATCTGTGTGAATGATGGGCACGTGTGCACGCAGCTCATGCAAATAGAGCTGTGCATGTGTACACTGGCTGCTCACACTGAACCATCCCCTCTCCCCCACCCCTGCCGGTCCACAAAGCTGGAAAGATTGGGGAACTCTGCTCTATTCCAATCACACCCATTCCATCCTATGCCTTCCAATGCACAAGCACCACACACACCAACACAACACAAGGGGAGAGTGAAATCTAGACAGATGTACAGTAACATGAAAATACACACAGAAAATATACAGATATCTCTTCAGGCCTCTTCTGGTTAAAAGGGTGGAAACGATTCCAAAAACTTGGCATGTGATCTTTAAGCAGCAAAAGGCCCAATTAACAGAACTAAGCATCTAGGAAACACATTTTTTTCCCCCAACTCATTATTTCTACCTCAATTTCTTCTAAAGAACTTTGGAAGCCGATTTGCAGTATAGAATTGCTTCAGTCAGAAAAAGAATTATTGAGCTGCTAAATAAAATAATCTTTTAATACTAAAATGACATTATTTATTTATTATCCCATTTTTATTATTTTTATAAACAATTCAAGGTGGCACAAACACTCGCAATATTTCTTCCTTCTATTTTCCCCACAACAACCCTGTGAGGTGGAGTTGGACTAAAGAAAGTGACTGGACCAAGGTCATCCAGCTGACTTTCATGCCTAAGCAGAGACTAGAACTCCCAGACTCCTGATTTCTAGCCAGGTGCCGTAACCACTAGACCAAACTACAGTATATTCATCTCTCATATTTTCAATCTAGTCTGCTCATAATGCCACAATTCCTGGCTAAAGCTTCATTCAGCCAAGCAAGCCAGCAGTTTTATTGCTGCAAAATGTGATGTATTATTAATTCAAGGAACTGACACAGGATCCTCAAATAGAAAGTCAGGTATACGTTTGAGATACTACTTACCTTGTGGCTTGTAGTTTGAAGCTGGCCACGGAGAATACTTAACTGGATCGTTTCCATTTACTCCTTGAACCACTTCATTGCAGATGCTTGGCTTGTACAGCCGAATTGTACTGTTTAAAGAGCAGGTTGGAGCAACTAAGATCTTTGGACACCTACTGCCACCTGTAAATAGAAAAAGCCGATGTAAACTTGGCTGAGTATAAAGACCATCTTTTTGATACATTGCATAAACCAAATGTGCAACTGGGTAAGTGTGTTTTCTATTCAGGGATGTCCATAGCAAAGTGTTCATCATCATCATCATCAATGCAATTCTCTCTTGCCTTGTTCTTCTCCAGCTATGGATCCCAAAGAACACAGCACACACAAACTCTGAACAAAACTTAATTTACTCAAATAACGCAGTTTTAGCAAATGCCGGCTGTTAATAAGCTTTCTTAACAGCCTGCCAGAATTCCACAGATAAGATAGTCAGAGTCTTACTGGAGTTGGCAAAAAGCCCAGAAGCAAGTTTGCAGAGACATCCCAATGCGATGATTAGTGAACTAAAGTTGTTTCCTGCAGCTTGTTGCAAGCTGTGTTCTTTCTTAAATAGGCTAAGGGAGTGGCCAATTAGCCCCAAGCCTTACTCTCGAGGAGACTTCCTCCTGAGGAACTCCTCCTGCCTTTTGGCAGCTCTGCATGCCCATGCATTGAGAAGAGGCTCCTCCTCTTCATCCTTTATACTTAAAGGACCCTCTGGAGGTTCTGAAGGCCCTGACTGAATCCCTGCCTCTGGCACCACATCTTCTTCAGCCTCCTTGCTGTCCGACTCGAGCACCGGCTGCACAGGCTGCTGGCGCAGCACCACATCAGCCTCCTCGTCGTCAGGATCAGCAACAATTCGTGCAGGCCGCTTTCGGGCCACAACATGCCTAAACATTCTGATGAGCAAAAATACAGAGCTACCAGCAGAAGTAAGTTTATCCACTTATGAATTTATGACACTAATATAACATTACTACAGTTAACACTTATGCCTTCAAATCCCAGTAATCAATATTATTTTGATGTAAAAAAAACTTCAGTCTTAATTTTGTTCTAAATATCTAAATGCATAACTAAAAGTCACCAATTCCAATTTTAATTGCTTATATCCTAAACTATTCACTTCCTTTTGTCTCGGCTCCAAAGCCACACATAACAACTTGCAAAGGTTTTCAGACAGCAAGCCAAGGAACCATTACCTCAGTTCAGCCAAGGGAATATTGTATATTTGGCTGGGTTAACATTATTTAAGGAGGAGGACTTAATTTTTTTAAGAAGTCCGAATGACTGCCAGTTATTAAGGAAAAAACAAAACACAAATACAGCTGTGAAAGCAGAGATGAGACTTGCCATGTGACGCTGTGGGATTACAGCTGCAGAATTTGGCTAATGAGAGTCACAAAAGGCCAGGGCAGTATGTACCTCATATTTCCTAGCAGCGACATCAAAAAAATGTGTCATGTCAATGACTATGAGTTAATAATAAAAACTGAATAGGCAGCAAGGAGATTAAATGAAATGTTAGTCATATTGAAATTGGAACCTCAAAATGTAAGAAAGTTAGCCACAAAGGAAATATTACCCTGACTAAACCATGCTTAAACTGATAATAGTGACAGGCATGTAGAAAGAAAGGAAAGGAAAGAAAGGAGAGGAGAGGGGAGGAAAGGAGAGGAGAGGGGAGGGGAGGGGAAGGGACGGGACAGGACGGGAGGGGAGGGGAAGGGAGGGGAGGGGAGGGAGAGGGAGAGGGAAGGGGAAGGGAGGGGATTTATTTTAAATTCCAACCTATAGAGAAGGTAGAAGTAGAAATAGATATTTTCCTATTCTGCATCACAATTTTTACTGTAATGCACAATTTTTCTCTTTGAACACTACTGTGATTTTGTTTTAATTTAGTATTTTGATAGATATTACCTGATAGACCATTTGCCAGAAAAAAAGCTATACCAGTCTGGCAGATTTATCTTAAGGGGATAATTAACACAAAATGCTTTAAGTATATTTTTGGATTCTCCTTGTTTTCCCTTATATGAGTTTGGTGGTGGAATTTTACTCTGTTAAAATTAGGAAAAGGAAGGATACTAAATGTTCTGGAAATGAGTAGAAAGGAGACATATTGTGCCTTCTGAGTTCCACTATCTTCAAGGAATAATAATTAAGCTTTGCAGTACTTTATGGGGAAAACTTGAGACAGCAGTATTGTATCCCAGTATCATTCATGATGACCTTTAGATAATTAACTTATAGGTAATATTGTGGGCAGTTTAAACTTTCGGTATTTGTCAGAGCTGTTGCATCCTGTTTCTAAAAATATTAGCTTCCTAGTTTCTAGTATGTGTCTTTACTGTAAAAAGCATTTTCTATATTTACTTAATAGTATGCAAAGTCTTGCCAAGAAAGCTAGATATGTTTTTCAAACGTATAGATGTGTTAAAGGGAAATTCAAAATCCCTTGGATTTTTTTGAACAGGAGAATGATGAATTTACAATGAGAAATGCATTGCTAGAGCTTAAAAGAAAACTTCAGCAGATCATCTACAATATTCCACTGTGTGACAACCTTCACCAACTTCATTTTATAGTTTAGCCTCAGGCTCATAAAGTGCAGAGGAAAGAGCAGCCTATCTCCTCCTGTATATTCACTCAAAAAGTTTCTTTTTTATGAGGAACAGCACTTCCTATTCCTAATCCCTTTGGAATTCTTTAGGACAGGTCCAATAGCCTTTAATCAAAGCCAGAAAAGATTCCAGCTCTGCCTTGTGAAGTCATTAAACATTCTTTTCTCCTGTTAATCCCCTTAAGATGGAAATAAAAATTATGGTAACTAAATAATAATAATATTTAGAAAAAACATCCACTCATCAATCTTACCCAAGCCGGAACTAATACTGCGGGAGTAGAATTCTGACAAACATGAATTAACTATATTTTAACCAATTCTCCGGGAATTCATGCAACTCTTGATTGCTTCATGTATGTGACGCTAAATCAACTTTAATCCCCCAAATAAATTTACCAATTATTCTGGCCATCATTTTGTATTCTTTCCCTTTTCCTTGTTATTCCCCGACTTCTTGTCAGAGCAAAATTATGTTTCAGGACTTTTCAGTTTTCTATTCCTGCGATAGTTGAGGTTGTAGGAAATACTTGCCATTGCTTGTTTTTCTACCGTAGAAGGATTCTACAGAATTAAGAAATATTAACATAAATCTACCGGATTCTTTTATGCAGGAGATTATGACCTTTATTGTTCCTCCAGTATTATGGATTATTTGTCTTGTCCTTGTCATACCTGGTTCTCTGGGGAGTTTAGGATGCAAGGATGAAGGTCCAGAGAGATTAATATGGACCCTTTGCCAACAATTGACTTCTTCATTGTGCACCAAACTTCTAGTTATTATCATCTCTGTTATCATATCAAGAGCTCTACTATTCATAACATCCAAAACTCTTGTTTAGCTTCTTTTTAATAATTGTTGTGACCTAGGCCCAAGTAGCTCCGCAGACAGCTGGTGGACCACAACAATAATAATATCAATATTTTAATGGCACTTAAAGTTGTGGCAAGTTGTCCCGCAGCGGGTTGGCCATGGCAAGTTGGCCATGGAGCGTTGGCCACAGAGAATTGTCATAGACCCAAGTTCAGAAAAACTAGATAAACATGTGGTTCATGCTTATCAACCTCATTCAGCAACCATTTGAAGTTGTGACAGAACTGACCAAGTGGTACTTATGTCCAGTTCTTGATGTTCCAACCATCGCCACGTCCCCACAGTCATGTATCATGATTTGGGTGCTTGGGAAACTGCTTGCATTTACAACAATTGTAGTGTTGCCCCATGGCAACAAGACTGCCATTTGCAACTTTCTCTGCCTACTTCCCACAAACAAAGTCAACGGGAAATCTAGCAGGAATGATTGCAAGTTGTTCTGGTTCCTCTGAACTTCCTCCACTCGCATCCGACCCCGCTACATCATCTTTCCAACCTTTCTTTATGGACACCCATCTACACCATCCACCTCCTGTACTTGCACACACAAGATTTCCTTCCTTGTGTGTATTGGGCAAAGCTGAGATGGGTTGGATCCTTACTCATAACTTTTTTGAGTAACAAAATTCAACTGAAGAGAAAGTCCACTATATGACAGATTTTAAATATTATCAGAGCAAATATAAGTGGATTTCTTGAAAGATTGGATATTCACTTCATAAGTATCTCATGGCTCCGGATGTTCCATTTCAGAAAAGAAGGGGCTTTTGTTGGCATCCACAAGGAGAAGAGGGAAGAAACAGAAAGAGCCTTGGTGGCGCAGCAGACTAAAGCACTGTTAAGTAACACTAGCTGCCTGCAATTACTGCAAGTTCAAATCTCACCAGGCTCAAGGTTGACTCAGCCTTCCATCCTTTCGAAGTAGATAAAATGAGGACCCAGTTTGTGGGGGCAATAAGATGACTTTGTATAAAAAAGAACACCACTTGAGGGGGGCAAAAGCCCTACTAAGCAGGTATATACAAAAGTATGCAGGCTATTGCTTAACGCATTGTAAGCCGCCCTGAGTCTCCGGAAAAGGACGGCATATAAATCGAACCAATAAATAAACAAACAAACAAACAAACAAACAAACAAACAAACAGCAATCCACTAACCCAATTCTAAGCTCCGGTTATGTCCTGACACTCCACCATATCACTTCTACTCTGCATTACATTTCAGAGTTTGAACATACTCAGCACATATGGAAATTATATGTATTCTATAATGGCCACATTGGGTATCCCTGTGCCTGCTCCAATCAAGGCACACTTTAACTGTTCACAAAACAAACGTAACTTTGTCAATGAAGAAACTATTTTTTGGATTTGCACATTTACACTGAATTACACATTTACACACACATTTGGAAAGCCAGTCTGGTGTAATGGTTAAGCCACCAGGCTAGAAATCAGGAGACTGTGAGTTCTAGTCCCACCTTAGGCACAAAGCCAGCTGAATGACCTTGAGCCAGTAACTCTCTTTCAGCCCTAAAAAGAAGACAATGGCAAACTACTTTTGAAAAACCCTGCCAAGAAAACTGCAAGGATTAGCCCAAGCAGTCACCAGGAGACAAGATTGACTCGAAGACACATTTGG